GAACAGGTAAACCTGGGCAGCTTTGTGATTTGTGGGTGTGAGAAAGAACAAGCCAGGTGGGATTGACGATAAAGACGAAATGATACCAAGTCTCTCTTTGACGGCTGAAGTCTAAAATTATATTTGCTGTATGCACAGCACCTCAATTCTGTCTCTTTTACAGATTTTTGGTGCTGACATTTCAATCGAATTGTAAAGTCACTGGAGTAATGGGCAGCTGGTTACAAAATGTGAAAACCCCCCAAACTTCCCGAGTCTACAGGATGCCTGGCATCAAGATGTGCCACTATATTCATACACACCAGGATTTGTTTTCTAATACATCATCTTAGACCTGTTCCTGGCTCCTGTATTTACCTCCCTGTTCATCCATCCATCTTTTGTAATGAGTCCCGTCAGTTTTTTTTTTCTTTTTGATAGCCCTTCTTTCACTCATGTTCATGATTTATGAACTGTTTTGTCACATGGCATATTGAGATTGCTATGCATGAAAATGATGAATGTGGAATTAGGATCTGTTGCCATGTGTTAATTTTGAAATGTGGACATGTAAAATATTTGGATGTTTTTTTTGGCAAATAGTTTATAGGTTAGTATGTTTATAGAATCTGAGACTAGATACGATTAAGATAAAAATCCTGAAAAGCATTTTCAAATTTCTGTTTGTTTGTTTGTTTGTTTGTTTTTTAATATAATGCAATTAAGCATATCATCCAATATTCAGCAACAGTTACAGAGAGCTTTGCAGCTGCTAAATTAGCATTTAGTTTCACACCGTATTACTGTTTCTCATTTCAGGAAGCTCTTAGTAGAACATGCTGTGAGTGCACACGTTTGTGTGGGCTTGTCTGTGTGTATTTATTTTGAAAGCGGTGAAGCTAAAGTTCTCAAAGACTGCAAACTCACAGTACCTGAGTATAGTGGGATGCATATCTCGTGCAGGAGGAGCTGCTCTAATTAGAAGAGGCTTGGGCAATGGTGAGGAAATGTGCCATTCAGGTCTGGTTTACACTAGTAGAAAAATGGGTAAACAGTGCATTAGCAATGATTTTGACAACTTACACTGCATGAGTCAGGATTCTAGGTCAGTATCTGCTGTGCTGTGAATGAAACTAATGGAGCCTAATTTAGGGATTAAACATGAAGTGGGAGCTAAAGTGATTGTGAAGATAATTAACGCACTGTGATTTTTATCTTGCTGAGTTTAAACTCAGTGGAAATAAATTTCACTCTCCCTTTATATTTTACATCTCTCCTGATGAGTAATATAGCAAGTGTTGAAGAACAAACAATCATAGCTATAATTTTGCAAACCTTCATTGACCAATGGATAATTGCTATGGAAAATTTGGTCTCCTGGAAGGCTAAACCATGGTCGATATGAGCTTTTGTCATTGGAGATTGATTGTTACTGTTTTTTTGTTTGTTTGTTTGTTTGTTTGTTTTTTAGGTCAGTAGGGATGTTAGTTTTTGAAAGATAAAAATGATGATATATATATATATATATATTAAAAAAAGGGTCTGATATGACCATTTAACAAACTACATTTTTGGGGGGTTAAACCTGATCATTAAAAAGCTGTGGTTAGTCCTTTGCATCCAAACAAATAGAAATGGTCACTGAGGCTTTAATGCACTGTGTGTGCAGTCAGTGTAGCTTGATTGTATTTAACCGATACAGTATAATCAAATAGGTTTGTTTTGTTTTTTTTTAATGATATCTCCTCATCTCAAACATGCCATTCTTCATTTCTGAGCATTTTCAGCTGCCATGCCTTTATTGTGGTGGTAAAATATTCAGTGCTACAATAAATAATAGATAAAACTTGTCTATGGGCACTGCATAGTATGCATTTTAAAGGTATGATGGGATAACATCAGCAAACAACACAATATTGTAGTTGCCCTGAACAGCCCTGTAGTAATAGTTGTGCAGTCAAACAGTAATACGAAATATCAAGAAGTTGTTGCCCAGATAAGAGATTACTGCATAAAAGTATGTCTTAATTAGATTCTCATTTCTATTCAGAAAACTGTAAGGCATGGTTTCCTGGCACTAAAATTAGTAGTCAAGATTACAGTCAGGTATTCAGAAGCAATTAAAAGTGATTCAATATCAAAGCATAGTTACATTAATTAGTAAACAAATTGCTTTGGACTCAGAGGTCATTGTCCTCAAGTCCACTTTTGCTTAGACCAACAGCAAAACTCGAACAGTGGTGTAGGTATGGATGGGGGAGGGTGTATATGTCAACTACTGCGCCTTCAATTTCAATAAGTGTCAAGGGGATGCATAGGTAATTCAATAAAGGGTCTGTGCTGTAACATGGCCATAGATACAGACCTCCATCTTTAACATTTTGTTTAAGTGGTTGATGAAGAGTGCTGCCCATCTCTAATGGCCTTACAGATTTATGATAGTAAGTAGCGACTGCTATTTCTTTGGTATTCATTTGTCATTATTACCTGTATCTTTTAAATTAGCTCTGGGTATGGATACCTCCCCAGGATTATGGGCCAGAACTGTGATTTTTTCCTCCTTTGTTTCAATCAAACAGCTGACACATTAATTTATTTTTCTATTTTCAGATGCAATTATCTTAGCCAGTTACCTGGCAAGAAGGTGTGTGTGTCACTATTTTTTTTTCCTTTTCTCCACAGCAGGTTGCTGAGGCTTACGCTGTGGACTGCTCTGTTGTTTTTGTGAGGATGGAAATGATTATCTTTTACAGCTTACAAAAAGACAGCCGGAAGTTTTCATACTTTTTAAAGGATTTTTTTTTGCACCACTCCTCATAAATTGCCATTCAGAAGCTGCATCTCTGAATCATCACCCCTTTGATGTTATGTCTTGATTTGAGTGGCTTTTCAAGTTTCACTTTCCTCATCCTTCTAACAGTCAAAGACACTGAAAGTGCCAGTACCGTATGCTGTGCTAAAAATTCAGAATGAAAAAGTAATGGAAATTTTGAGGCCTTAGTTGCCGAAGGCAACCGCAGATGTGACTTGCAGGTCACATCCCGAAGAAATTGAGAAAGTGTGGTTACTGTTGTCCAGGAGTGCATTCACAAAAATTAAGTCAGAGAGGATCAAATGCCAGACTTTTTTTAAAAGGAAGGACATGAAATGAAGACAGACAGAATGACGATGAAAAATTGAAAGGAAACCACTCAGAGGGGAAGCAGTATCCTCAGATGTCAGAGTATTAAGGGTCAGGAACAAACATTTGTGCAGATAGCTTGGACGCTATGAGATGCTCTTGAACTTGCCACTGTTTTGCATAGATGACAGTGTAATGCAAAAAATCACTGAATAGATGTAACACATGTCAAATTTTAAAAGGTCCATGCAGTCAAATAGAAATGATAATGTGAGGACAATGACTATCCGATCAAAACTAAAAATACTGTCAGCCCTTGAGTGTTGGACCCAGTGAGGAACCAAGAGACTATCATTGCCTTAAGTAAACCCATTTATTTAGTAATTAAATGCTCTAGAGTGAAGGATATTTTGTTATTGTCAAAGTGGCTTTTTCACTTCTATATCAGACAGGGAAAATCATCAGTATTTATCCTGTGTATATACTGAAATCTGTGCTCTCAAAGCTTTATGATTTAACCCACCTTTTCAGAAGATGCCAAAAACAAGGGGACCTCAACAGTAAAAAGAACAGAAATTATCGGATACCTTAAAAAGATAAGACAACAGTGTTATTTTTCTTTCTGCTGCAAACAGCTGATGGCTGTCTCAAATAGGAAAATTTGCTCGTACTCGCTCATGTTTATGTAAGTGCATAAATTGCCATTGCATTGTTCCTGTTTTATACTTTTACCTATGTCGCCTTGATTTGACTGTGATTTTGAGTTGCGGTAGCAAAGTTCCACAAAAGTGTCACAACAGATTAGCACATTTATGAGCGGATGATTTCACTGCACTTTTGTGTTCAAAAGCGTGAGATGCCAGTGCATGTATTTACTTATCTGCAATTCAACAGCTGTCTGACAGAAATGTGGTAAAAGACATCCCTTGCCATCAACTTAGCAATGCATGGTGTCAAAAATAGTATTATGGATAGATACCACTTGACAGGTCTTATGTCATGTGTACAGTGCCGTCAATTGAATGTCTAGGTGCCCATGTCAAATTAGTTTTGAGCCACTTATCATGTCACTGTTTTTCAATTATACTGCTTCAAGCTCATAAATTTTGTTCTGCATTGAGGGCATTATTTTGAGGTTGCTGACAGGCCCTTGACGGTTTCAAAATGATGTTTCACATCTTCCAGTGGTTCATTCGTTAAAAGCCTGGCTTCTAGCCAGATGTTGGTACACTTGCCAGGACAAGCACAGAAACAGCTTGCCTTCTCTTTATGCGTGACATACGCTAACTCTAACAGTACTGATGAAGTTACTTGACTGCCTTCACATCAGTGAGATTGAGCTTTAACAGATGTAAGCACTGTGATTAGTACTCTGAAGCCAAGCAGCAGAGAGAGTTGCAGTAGGTCATGGCAATTTATTTAGAAGGTCATTAATGCTAGTCAGTGATTAAAGATAAAGCCTGATCAATAGAAGGATTAGCTCCTGAGTTCTGTCTTAACTTTAGTTCCTTTACTCTGTGTTTCAAAATAAAAAAAATAAAAAAAGTAGACTTGTCCTATGTGTTATAGTATGGTTTATAGTAAAGCGCATGAAGTAAGACCAGTGAAGGTGATGCACTAGAGGGCAGTTTTTGGGGCATCTGTCAGTAAGGAGGTAGAACAGGCTGTCTACCAATCAGAAGGTTGGTGGTTCAATCCCCAGCTCCTCTAGCCTGCATGGCAAAATGATGCAGTGTGAGTGTGTGAATATCAAGTTGAAAGCATTAGGACATAGAAAAAAAGCAACTCTATGAATGTGTGAGTGAATAAGGCTTGGAATAAAAATACTTTAAGTGCTAAAATAGATATGAAAACCACTCTGTTTATTTAAGTACTAGTCCAGATTAAGATTCATGGTTTACCTTTGTTTTCCCACCAGCAAAGATCAACTACCAACCAGCCCTGCCCAGCCAGAGAGCATTCCTTACTCAGAACATGCCTGTGGGTCATATGATAAAATTCATTATTACCTACAAAATGGTAAGTAGAAAAAAAAAAAACAAGAACACACAGAAGCAATGTTTATATGATTAAGGTTATGATGATCTAATCAAGAAGCATTTGTTTTAAATGATAACTCTTTTCCCTTCAAATCTGTTGAGCCAAAGTTACATATAATTCACTCCAATTAATTTGGTAGTTACCACATTTAAGACTGATTGGCTATGGTCGATAATGAAGTTGGTTGTAGATTAAAAAGGTTTTATGTGACTATATATTAGGGGTGCAACGATATTCGTATCGATATTGAACCGTTCGATACAGTGCTTTCGGTTCGGTACGCATATGTATCGAACAATACAAAATTTGTAATTTATTTTATCAACTTTCCTTCTGACGATGCTGTCTGTGTTGAGCGCTCAGTGAATCTGCGTTCGACTACTCCGCCTAGGCTGCACTGTCGAGCGCAGATCCACTGAGCGCTCAACACAGACAGCATAGTCAGAAGGAAGAGCGCAGGGCAAGCTAGCGAGACAGAAGTTAAGCTCTCCTTGCAACATGGCAAATTGAACCTCCCCCACCCTCATTCAGATCTGGCGTTTGGAACTATTTTGGTCTTCATGTGAAGTATGACCCTGAAGGTAAGCGCGTCATGGACAAAAGTAAAACAGTATGTCGGATGTGCCACGCAATGCTCAATTACATGGGTGGGAACTACTGCGTTAGCGCAGTTAGCTCGTTAACGTGTTGACGCCGTCCAGCCCCACGCACTGGGCGATCCGCGGTAGCTCGTTAACGGAGATTTGCCGTGTTGTGGCGTTAACGTCATTTCAGATTAACGCTGACAGCACTAGTGGGAACACAACGAATATGACTGCACATTTACGCCGACATCATCCTAGTGCAAAGACAAGTGGAAGCAGACAAAAACAACAAGCACGCATGCTACAAACTTTACCCGAGTCATTTAGACAGCCGTTAGCACATGATTCTCCTTATGGGGACCTGATATGTTTAATATGCTGCTGAGAATATAGCCCAGAAGAAGCGTATAGTATAGCTTTTATTTTGGAAAGAGCCATTTCTCTGTAATAAACTCTCTTTTCCAAAGATGAGTGATTCCTCAATCAGATACAGGGCTCGCAAAATCGCTAGCCCGACGTCCCGGGGCTAGCGATTTTTCCAGTCGGGCTACCAAAATCTATCTCTGCCCTGCCCGTCGGCCTATCGTAGGAAGGAAAAATATATGTCAATGCTTTTGCATTGATTTCAACAATGACATACAAAGTTAGCAACAGCTAAGTCAATCTTGATTTCAGAACAGTGGTATGTCCATTATACCCTCCAACCCCCCAACCCGAATTCTCCCCCTACCAGGTCCACACTAGACAAAACACCACAGAGAACCAATCTCTGCCCACACACACAAAAAAAACAAAAACAACATCTCAGGACCCATACACATAACAAGCATAACCTCCCCCCCAACAACCAACCAACCAAACAAAATCAAACAAAGCAAAAAAAGACAAAACAAAAGCAGAGAAAGGACCAAACAAAACAAAAGGAAAAACAAATAGATAAGGTATAAATAAGATTTAAAAAAAAGAAAACAAAAAAAACAAAAAAAACCCCCTTATAATGTAGCTTCGCTCAGTTCACTTCAGACTCAGGAAGTAAAGTAATGGTGTCGACCAGCAAGAGAAATGATTTCCAGATTTTGTTAAATTCCCTAATAGAACCTTTTAGAGAGAATCTAAGTTTTTCCAGCTTTAAGTTAAAGAGTACATCTCTCACCCAATGATCATGAGTTGGGGGGTGGGGAAGCTTCCACTTCAACAGAATAAGCCTCCGGGCCAGTAAAGTGGTAAAGGCTAGGGCCTGTTTGAGGGGACCAGATAAGTTCAAGTCGGGAGGAATGCCAAAAATTGCAGAGAGTGGGTTAGGAAGGACAGTCTGGCCATATGCTTGGCTAAGTGTGTCGAATATATTCCTCCAAAATGCACTCAGTTTCGAACAAGACCAAAACATGTGGACATGGTTGGCAGGCGATAGTCCACATCTGCTACAGGCATCACTGATGGTTGGATAGATTTTAGATAATTTTGCGTTTGTATAGTGTACTTTATAGACCACCTTGCACTGAATCAAAGCATGACGAGCACAAATTGAGGACGAGTGAATCAATTTCAAAGCACAATCCCACTGCTGTTCTGGCAGGGTTGTCTGAAGCTCTTCCTCCCATCTCAGCTTAATATGAGAAATGGATTTGGGGACCAAAGCATCTAGTATTTTATACAAGGCTGATATCAGTCTGTTTTGATGAGGGTTCGTCTGCAGGATGATATCCAGATTTGTTTCTGGAGGCCGATTGGGAAAGTGAGGGAACTGCGTTTTTACAAAATTTCTAGCCTGAAGATAACGAAAAAAGTTGGAATTAGGCAGGTTGTATTTAGACGATAGGTCAGCAAAAGATAGAAAGGTGTCCTGACTGTACAAGTCCTTAACAGTCCTAAGTCCGTTATCTTTCCAACTGCTAAAGGCCGCATCAGTGTTTGAAGGTGCAAAATTACAATTTTTTGATAAAGGCGTTAGCAAAGACGGTCCAAGTAGCCCGAAGTATTTTCTGAACTGTCGCCAAATAGTTACCGTTTCCTTAGCTATTGGATTATCCCCAACAAAGGTTGGAGAAAAAGGGAGTGGTGAGCTGAGTATTGATGATAATGAGTAACAGCTAGATGCAGTTTCCATTTGTACCCAGGCTGTTGCAGGGGGGTCGTTATGAACCCAATGTAAAAGTTTTTGTATGTTAGCTGCCCAATAGTAGTGTCTAAAATTGGGCAGACCAAGACCACCATCACTTTTAGAGGACTGAAGAATAGACTTGCGAATTCTAGCTTGTTTCCCTCCCCATATGAAATGTGACAGAATCTTTTCTAACTTGTCAAAAAATGCCTTGGTAAGAAGAATCGGGACATGTTGAAAAAGATACAAGAATTTTGGGAGGACACTCATCTTTATCAGGTTAACTCTCCCTGCCACTGACAGTGGTAGAGAAGTCCAACGGTCACAATCTTTCCCAACATTTTCTAGTAGGGATAGAAAATTCTCCCTCATCATTTTATGTATAGAAGAGGAAATAAAAACCCCCAAATATCTAAATCCGGTTTCTGTCCACTTAAAAGGCACTATTGAGTGGGGAAGAGCTCTGGCCAGGGAATTGAGGGGTTGCAACTCGCTTTTTTGATAATTGACCTTATATCCTGACAGTGTACCATATTGGTCCAGTATGTCAAAAAGCACCGGGAATGAGTTTAGAGGGTCAGAAATGTACAGGAGCAAGTCATCTGCATAAAGGGAGAGTTTGTGAGTCACACCGAACCTTGTAATGCCTTTAAATCTATCCTCTGAACGCAGCCATATTGCAAGAGGCTCGATAGCAATGGCGAATAGGAGGGGTGAGAGAGGGCACCCTTGCCTAGTGCCCCTCTCAAGTGGAAAAGGCAAAGACAAGTTGTTGTTAGTACGAATACAGGTGGATGGCGAGGAATATAGTAGCTTAACCCAGAGAATAAAGTCAGCCCCTAAGCCAAACCTATCCATCACCTCATAGAGGAAGCTCCACTCGACGCGGTCGAAAGCTTTCTCCGCGTCAAGAGATACCACAACCTCTGGAATTGAGTTGCACGATGTATGGATAATATTCAAGAGGCGTCTTGAATTGTCATATGAGTGCCTGCCGGCCATAAATCCCGTCTGGTCAGAGGCGATAATTTGTGACAGAACACGTTGTAGCCTAAGTGCGAGGATTTTAGATAGTATTTTAAAATCAATATTTAAAAGAGAAATTGGTCTGTAACTGCTGCACAACAGAGGATCCTTGTCCTTTTTCAAGATTAAACAAATAGTAGCTTCGGACAAAGTCTTGGGTAATTGACATTTTGAAAAGGCTTCATTATACATATCTTTCAACAACGGTGCCATAAGATCAGAATTGACTTTATAGTATTCTGCAGAGTAACCGTCAGGGCCCGGCGATTTACCTGTGTTTAAGGATTTAATGGCTTCTTGTACCTCTACTACAGTAATAGGTCCCCTAATCCTAAGTTATGAAGTTCATAAAGTTGGGTGTCCACACCCCCCCCCCCTCCTCAGTGGGGTGTCAACAGTACTCAGCCTTTTATTGCGGGCAGATAAAAAGGTAAGCTAAAAATACTTTGCTGATAGATAGATTTATAAATTTCAAATAAATGTTAGAATCCACAAGGGGGTTCTTTATAAGTCTGCACTTTGCTTAATAAGAAAATACCATATGTTACAGTGACATCTGGGGAAATTAACAGCTGATTTTAATTGCAGACAAAAATTGTATATCGATAACAAAACAAATTGCATTTTCCGGTGTAGAAAAAGTTTTAAAATATTTATTTGGTAAGCAGAAGTCTTTATCAGACAGCAAATAACTAACTTGACACATTTAAACATCAATCTGACAACAATCTGTACAAAAAGCTTCGAGCACATGAAATTTGATTTGTGTAATCTAATCCATTTTGCACTTCCACTACAACACCACAGTTAATTAACAAAATGCTTCTATGCCTTGTTAAGTAACTGAAATTGTCAGCTGTACAGAACATAAAACAATTTGTGCTCATGCAAACATTTATTTGATCAGTGTCTTGGCAAGATGCACTAAGATTCCAATAAACACATGGAAAAAGTGCTCACTGATAGACAATAGGGTTTCATTTTTACTCTGCTCCTGTGCATCTGCAGAAATTCTATAGTCCCAGATGTATGGAGACCTTACTTTTATCAATTACGATCATGAGTTGTAGCCCAGGAGCCATGAGTCATATGTCTGAGATATACATGTTTAAAAAGGTTAAATAGAATAGCTGTAAAGCATATACATTTCCCTGACAGGCTGAAGAAAATAAGAGTATATGAATGGAAGGGAAACAAATCATCACGAGAAACAAAGTTCATTGTTTGTAGCTCTTGAAAAGAGCACCATTATTTCTTTGTGCACAGTA